CCTTTTTATAAGAACAGATCATTTTCTTTTGACCTTCCTCTCCTAGCTGCTGGATTTTATCTACTTTTCACAAATGTTATGAAATATAGAACCTCCCAAGTTATGAAATGACCCAGGTTCCTTCCTGCCAACTATTTCACTTAGAATACAGTATTCCTGTTCCATGAACACTTTAGTGTCATGAGAGAAAGTCTAGAGTTTAAAAAACAAGTTCATTGTTGCCCACGTTCAGCATATTCTTAATGACTTAAAGACTTAAAAAATTAGGGCAGAAAGGAAAAATAAAATAAAACAGCTTTCACTTTGGAACACAGAATCATGTGTCCTGATATTGACAACAGTTCACTAACGCTCAGTTGCATTAACAGAGATAGTTTGAAATTGCAGTTTCTTAACTTCAGGGTGACTACAGTATATATGTCAAAACAGTAACAGAGATATCCAAAGCTGTTGTATATGATATAGTTTTGTTTAATATGAAAGTCATTTAAATATAATTGATGTTTAGTACTCTATATGTACTTTTCCTGTTCTTTGGATTTCTGGAAGATAATGACACTTTATTGTTTACAGCTGATGCATAGTTATTTGCATGCCATGGTTGTACAGTAGTGGGATACGACCCTATTGTGATATTAAATGTTTATTTCATAATGCCATTTATACATAATCAGCTTAATTTGATGAGGATTGATTGTACTATATAACAGGAATGATCATACAATATGTAGTTGCATCTTATATAAGACTGCTAGGTTGCATCTAATCATGACTATGTCATTATTTTCATAATTAGGCATTTATGAATTATAGTATATATCCTTCTGTTGGCATGATAATTTTGCTATCTTCCATGCATTAAAAGTAAGATGAATTCTTAGAGTAATTTTAGTAATTTTATCTATACCCTGTAGGGTTTTATTGGGGGTGGGGGGTGTTTTTACTTCCTGTTATTTTCTCTCTCAAAAAAAGAGTGAGCAAAGTTTGTTTGTAAATGTCTCCTAAAAACAATCAAGTAATTTTATCAGCTTCCTTTTGGGCCCTTTAAATGTTGATTTTTCTCACGGAAAAATAAATTGGCAAAACAGTTGATTACAAAGATATGATCATTTAAAAATAAGGCGATTGCTCAATTTGTTTAATCCTCTAACAGTTGTCACAAGAGAAAGCTTATATAACAAAAACACAAAACATACAGACTTGTGTGTAAAATCTATTTTGTCTATATTTTTAGAGAAGCTAAGAAAGCAGCATTAACATGAAATAATTGTCAAGTTTTATCCACCTCAAATCCCATCAGCTTCTTAAAACTTAAAAATTCGAGTTTTAGAGAATTATGGGACATAATGCAATATTAAATTAAAATCATATCATAGCTTTCTGGGCCAAATATTGCTAACTCTGGCTAATTGTGCAATATATTCTCAACTTATCAAACCCTTTTACTGGCAATAAAATTGTTCCCCCTCAGGTGAAGTGACTTGCAAAGACATCAAGGGTCAAGGATAATCACTATGAATCTGCATCTTGGATTTTTTTCCCACCACATCCCAAACACTTTCAATTTGGATGTTTTGTTTTTTAAAAATCAAACCATGGAAATATGCAGATACTTTCCAAGAAGTTAGCAGATAAATGACTGATTCTCTTGAAAACTTACCTTAATTTCAGTTTAGAATGACTTTGAAAAATTCTTTAGATTTAGAATTGCTTTGGGTTAAATAGAATGGTTTAAAATTTTTGGTTAAATAGAATGAAGTTTTAAAAATTAACCTGGAGACACTATTTGGGCAACTAGAAAATTCTCATTAAAGAAGAATCTATACATTCTTACGGATTGATTGAATAAATTTTAAGATTAGGATTCTTGTAATTACTTTAAATGAAAATTTATGTTAGTGATGCACAGAGAAGGAAGATAGATGCCATATACTGTAGTGTTACATCCAGGAAAACTTCAAATAGTACATATTTAAATGTGTAATTTCTATTTGCTGTACTTCCCAATATCTCATTTTCTTTTGGTGTTAGATAGAAATGACAGTATTGCTGTTGTCCATGCCATAGGGTCATTTAGAGTGCAGACTAGTGCCACGCTGGACAACGGATGTTGGAACCAGGTCTGAGGTGTGTGGTGCTGGGCAAATTTTCACCTTTTGAAGCTTCGGCCTTTCCAGCTGTAAAGGGAGGTCATGGTGTCCACCTTGCAGAGCTGTTGTGACGCTAGAAGGTGACAAGCAGAGAGATCCCACAGAGGGGGCCCCCCATGTAGCATAGCAGGTATTAACAATCATGGGGCCACTGGACTTTCTATCAATTGTTTTATGAATCCATCTATTAATCTTCATCCAACTTTTTGCCCAATGTAAAAGTCAGGTAGGTTTTTACAAAGAGATTCTTAAATATCTTCTGTTCCTATATTTCTAGGATATAGGGATTTCTAAAAAACTACTTTGATATTTGGGTCAAGGCCTTGACTCTTTCTAAAACAATACAGTTTTAGTGGAGTAATTTTTAAATTACTGCTTGGTGACATTTAGACAGGAACACCAATTGTCTGACATTTGGCTGTCATAAATGATACATCTTTTTTTCAGGGAACATAAAGCTATGATTTGAGAAGTGTTTTATATTTTTTAAAAAGTGAAAACTGATCAAATGAACCAATTCTACCCCCTATACTTTAAAAAAAATTTTTTTTGTAAAAGGCAACTTTTATTCATGTAAGGGCATACAATAACTTTAAATATTTACATGGAACTGAAAACACACACATGCACACACACACACAACAAAACTCAAAATATAAGGATCTGAGGATAATGTCTTCAGACACAGGTGTCAACAGACTCTTGAGAAACGTTATACTCTTACTATACTCCCGTTAATTCAGGTATCAATAAGAGTATTGAACTGTGCTGTATAAGTGGAATGTTAGACTGTTGAAACTCATTTTTAAGCTTACAATTTGCAACCAGACATGAAAATACATATTCCTAATTTCTAATTAGTTTACAAATGTCCACAGTATATAGCTGAATTTTTGCAAAGCCTTGCCAGAATCCACCTATACTTTTAAAAAACCCAACTCCCAAAACCCATTTGCCACTAACTAGCGTGAGCTTGGAACTTCCTTGATGGTAAGAATTCCCCAGGTTAGTGCATATTCCCACCTCCACCTCGAGAGATTCAGATTCAGGAGGACTGCGGTGG